AAATGTTCTCGTTTACAGGCTTGAAAAAGATGATCGAGCTGAATGAGCAGATGAAAGCAGACATGATGAAGCGTGAAGCAGAAAGCAGGCGTCGTTTGGGGGAAATTTTACCCTTCTACGAACTCGCTAAAGAAAATCTTAGAATGTAAGTTACCTCCGCTGCTTTGGTTCCAAACTGAAACTAAACGCATCTTCACCATCAAATGAGCGTAGGAGAACTATGATGCTCTCAAACTCGCAGAAGGATGAGGCAGGTTCACAGCGGGCGAAGGAACGACTCGAAGAAAAAATGAAAAAGTTGGAGGAGGACGCGTTAGCAACGCGGAATGACGCATTCAATTTTTTTTGCATGTGGTATGAGAGCAATGTTCTGAACGGGAATGCCGTTGTCAAAAACACAGAGGGCAAGTCAATGGAAGAGGTCAGTTTGTTTCTAAGGCGACATAGTCTGTTTCAAAGCAATTTTGATGGTCGTTGATTTTCTTTCATTCTTGGAAAATGTTTAAGCTTTTGTCTGTTTGGAAAACTTTCTGCTCTAAATTATACTAAAATTACAGTTGAACCTCAATAACTCGAACCTCCCTTTGTCGAATTTGTTCAGGTCCCTTTCTGAATTCCTTTAGAAACAATGCATTAAAAATCTTCTTATAACTCCGACTCTCCAAGACATTCCCCTTAACCTCCATAACTAAAATTTTCTGGAGGCCATTATTAGGCTGTTATTTTCTTGACATTGGAAAGAGAAAAGCAAGAAAATGTAACTTGTTGTGTTTTTACATAAAAGTGAGTGAATAATCGGGCAATGAATTCTTGTCTCCAAGTTCAGGATCCTGTCAACATATGTAAGTCTTTTAATTTCACCGATGACAGACAGTTTCGTGTAATTTTTCTCTCTTTTCGCCCACAAAAAATACTTTATCCCCAGCATGAAATCTCCCTATAACGCGATTGTTTGCTGTTCCCTTAAAAAAAGATCAATTGTTTTACTCTTAGAGAGAGTTCTTGATTGTATACCTTGATCATGTACAGATTTTCGACATGTCTCTGGAGCGGTATATCGCCGAAACCAAAAGAAAGCCTCAACTCGAGAGGATGGAAGAATTGAAGAAAAGAGAAGAGATCTTATTCCGGCAACTGGCTGAAATGTACAAATCTTCTGCAGTGGTTGAAGAGGAAATTGGGTAAATTCTATGATTTTTCATGCAATAATAAAGGTTTCTTCGGGATGCACGATCATATTCGGGTGCATTAGTAAATCAAGTTCCCCTCTGCAATCAATCTTTAATATGATTTTCCAGGCGACTGA